GAACCCTTCATAATTCATAAATTATTATAGTTTTGTCATAATTAGCACTGTCTGACGTCTCCCTCCGCCCTCTTCTCTGCTGTCCATCCCCCAGGCAGGAGGCTATACTTAGATTCTTGTCATTGGTTTCCCCCTTCTGCCCCACATTGCCTTCACCCTCCAGGAATTCTGGTTCTTTTCAAGGCTACCCATAGTTTGTTGTAATCCGCACAGTCGGATGCCTTGGCGTAGTTAATAAAACACAAGTAAACGTCTTCCTAGTATTCTCTGCTTTCATCCGAGAGCCATCTGACACCAGCGATGATTCCTCTTGTTCTACATCCTCTTCTGACTCCGGCCTGAACGTCTGGCAGTTCCTGTCAATATACTGCTGCAACCATTGTTAGATGACCATCAACAACATTTTACTTGCATGTGACATCGGTGATATTGTTCTATGGTTGGAACATTCTGTTGGGTCACCCCAGTTTGGAATGGGAACAAACGTGGATCTCTTCCAGTCAGTTGGCCAAGTAGCTGGCTTCCCAATATCCTGACATAGACAAGTGAGCGCTTCCGGTGCTTCATCAGCTTGAGCTTCTTCCTGCAGCACCATTGGGTCTTGCTCACATGCTACCTCCTAAAATGATGGAACATCAACCAATTCTTTTTGGCATAATGAGTCTGTGTATTCTTTCCATCTTCTCTTGATGCTTCCTGCATTATTCAATATTTTGCCCACAGAATCATTCAGATTGCAAATCACGGCTTGAGTTTTTTCCGTTTCAGATACACTGAGCATATCCTTCCCTTTGGGTTTTCCAATTCTAGGTCTTTGCACATATCATTATAATATTTGGCTTTGTCTTCTCGGGGTGCCTTTGAAATGTCCTATTCAACTCTTTGACATTATCCTTTCTTCCACTGGCATTAGCTGCTCTACGATTAAGAGCAAGTTTCAGAGTCTCCAATTATTCAAGCTGAACAATGAGCCCCCATGTGCTAGCTCTGCACTCCAAAGGCCTCTATTTGCACAGTGACCAATGCAAACAAAGCCTGGACACCGGACCCTGAGAGCTGTATTGCTGCTTTCTCATTCCCCAATTCCTCTAATCGCGTCGTCTCCAAAAGTATGCATCGTGTTTGGACACAAAGGAAACTTCACAAACGTGCCAGGGTACCTTCCACTTCATTCTCTGGAGAACAGCTCCTCACAACGAAATGAAAGCAATGGAGGGAAGCATGGCTGATGGCTAAAATCCTCTCTAACTCCCCCTCCAGCTGATGCCTCAGCCCTGGTGGCACACTTGACCGCTCATCCCCAGGTCACACCAGCTGGCTCTCAGGGAGAAAGACGCGGCTTTCTCCTCCTGTAAAGAGTTAGCCTCAGAAACTCGCGGGGGCAGTTCTGCCTTGTCCTATAGGGTTGCTCTGAGTCCCCATTGACAGGCAGTGAGTTCTGTCCCGGAAGCCAATTTTGGAAAATCTTTTGGAAAGATCTGCCACCTAAGCTAACTATAAAAATATGTTGAAGTGGTTCGAGTTATGATCAACTAGGCAACGTAGGAGAGGGGTATGACAAAGACGACAGAAAGAATGACAAGGATTGAGGAAGGAAAGGTGGAGCGAGGGAGGGGGAGAGAAGGGAGGGAAGGCATGAAAAAAGGAGGGGAGAAAAGACAGGACCGGAAGGGCAGGATGAAGAGAAAGAAGAAAAAGTTCGGGGGTCCATGCCTGTACCCAGATATTCCTTTCCTTGCAACTGGAGTGCCTTTCAAAATGCCATTTAAGCTCCACCAGGTCTCCTGAGACAACATCCCCTGGAGAGGGAGAATATTCTATTCTTCTTTGTTACTCTTTCACGTATTGTTTGAAAAGCAACTATGGGCTCCTCTCTTCTTTCTTTTCCCCTTTTGTTTGGCTGCCATGACAACCGGCATGTGATCAGCTCCAAACACAGACACCTCCAGGGCTGTGCAGAGCATGGGACTGGCCAGAGTGTTTGAGATGCACCACGCCTACCTGCAGCACGAATGGGAGCGAGCCTACCGGGACCACCGGAAAAAGGTAGGACAGACCCTGCACCTGGCACTGCTCTGGCAGGCTCGTTAAAGGAGCAGAGCTTTCAGTCACATCTCACGTTTGAAAGTTAAAAGTTGAAAGGTTAACAAACATTCCCTTCCGGACAACAATTCTGATTTGGGGAAGGGGATGAAGGAGCTACAGTTCCCTTGGTCAGCTCTCTCTCGTTATTGGGCCTCCATGATGAGACCATTGAGGGCCTCTGATGTCCCCCTCTCATCCACCCATCTCTGTCCATCTGCCCTGCAGCTAATTCCTGCTGGAGTTCTTTGGAAAATGCAACTGCCAAATTCGAGAATTCCAGCACATCCCGGTCTTGGGAGATGCCCCAGGAATGCAGTTGGGCCCCAAGGTGGAGGCCTGGCTTTGCTGTTTGTAGATTCCTGCAGAGCCAGTATCCTTGGCCTTGGCTGTGGGGATTCCTGCTGGGCCCAGTTGGCCTCTGAGGTCTAGTGAGGATTAACCACATCTGATTTGGGGTCCAGGATCTTGTCAACAAGAGGGGGAGAAACCAGGCTGAGCTAAATAGACAGATGTTCCATCAGGCTCTTGTGTGCACTCCTGTTGAAATAAAGTGAATATCTATTACCTCTGCCAGTGAAACAGGCCTATTGCCCGTGCCCACCATAGCCACACATGGGCCTCTTTGGAAAATGGCCACTCTGTTCACCCCTGAGCTTCCTATTGTGTTCCAACCCTTCCCTCCTGTGACCATGGGGAGCCACTGTATTGAAAGCTGGGTTAAGGCTTTTAAATTATGTATGGTCACTCTCTGTGTGGCAGAGAGCCGAGCTAACAGAGCAATGCTCTTGAAATGCCAGGACTTTCCTTAGAAACCAATGTGTCATTTTCTTTTTGGATATGATGTAAACTCCATAGATTTTTGTTGCTGTTGCTTTGTGTACTTTTGGATCAGAGAGACTAGAATAGTCCCTGGCATGAGATAGTTAGTTAATGAATGCCCTCAGTTTACATAAATAGTCAGGCAACATGGATACGAAATGTTACGACAATGAAAGTCTGAGATAGTTACTGTGAGCTGAAGGGGCAGTGTCTAATGTGGCTCTTCACTCCCACCAAGTGACCTTTCCCTGCGTGGCTGTGGTCAGAAGGTGAGGGAAAACACTGATAGGACCCACCTGTGAGTACTTTCAAAGAGGAGCCCCAAGGTGCACCTTGCTGTGTATCACATGAGCCCTCAGAGAAGCTCATTACCAGCATGAGCCAGGAGTAGATGGTGTTCTCTGGATCCAAGATCCCTGCACAGTGAGCCTCCTGGATTTAGAAGACAGTTATACCATCGGAGGAGCAGCAGCAGAACCAGGAGCCAGAACATGGAACAGAGTGATGGACTTCCTAACACACGGAGCAAGTTGATTGCTTTTGTGCAGGAGGCTGGCGCGTGGAGTAGGATGCCACTGGGCACTTAACTGGGAAAGTTGAACTTGCTGACACACAAACGTGAATCTGAGTGCCTTTGGGCTGAGGCTGACTGGAGTAGGGGGCCCTCTGTGCCCTTAATTCAGGGGGCTG